CATCCGAGAGAGAGAGAGTTTGTTTGTTTTGGCATCCGTGGCGCGGGGCTCGTCTTCGGAAAGTCGGGCATGGCTCTACCCGCAACTTTCTCGCTAACACGCGCGCACCGCCGAGCCTACGATGGGCGCGCTGCGGCCGCACGTCTAACTTCGTCATAGTGAGTGCCACGACGTGCGGCCTGGATTTAGGTTTTAGCCCACGCGCCTCTGCTCGCAAACACTCACCCATTGAATTGTCACTGCCCGTGAGTGCGAGATAGGGCTAGCAGTAGGCAGCTAGCCTCTGACGAGGAGGGCGTCCGTAGACACCTCACATGACCCCACACACGGTCTCGCCCGTGCCTTGCGGCTGGCGCCTGGCGGCGAGATTGCTAGAGGCGGAGCAAGCCTGCTCCAGCCTCACATGTTACTTCCTGTCGTCTGTTGTTTGTTGTGCCCTTGTTTGTTCTCTTGGCACCTTGGAGTGCTGGGGGGGGCGACAGGGAGGATGTGGCCTTGAGTTATGTGTACGCCAACTCAGGGTGTGTGGCAGCCAGCTGGCTGTGTGTCTTGTGAGCCTGTTTGTGTCTGTGTGTCGCTCGTGCGTGTCGTCATCATCTGTCTCGCGTCCACCCATACCGCGTTGGTGTCCAGTCCGAGCCTGGCTGTTCTTCACCTTTCTACCTAACCTAAAGGGTGTGGATGCTGGGTTGAACAAAATCGGAGGACGCGACCCACTTCGCCACAGACGGTCCCGCGCCTCGCCGCTAAGACGGGTACACGACCGCGGCTTGTGTGCGTGTACCCGTCTTTGTCCGGAGTGAAAAGTCCAACGCGCTCGTCGGTGACGGCTTCCTCCAACCTGCGCCGCGCTCGGCGAACCTCGACAGCGCTTTCGGTGGCATGCAGCTCTTTGCGACAGAAGCCTGGAGAGCAGCTCCTCTGCTGCTCACACACTCTGCACAGCTGACACAGCCTACTGTGCGGCTGTCACAGCTGTGACAGCGATGGGCTCGCCCTCACTGGCCCTCAGTCACTTGTGCTGCGGCTTGTGTGAGCGACACTGCTCGGCGACTGCCGGCACACTGTGAGACCATGGGTGAGAGGTCAAACCACGCTACCAGCGCTTGGTCACATCGGCCCCGAGGTCAGATCCATCTACTCTGTTGATGACAAGACTTGTCTACCGGCTGGAGCCGAGCAGGAGGGCTTGGCGCACAACCCCTGTTCAACTCACCCTCCACACCCCGTAACCTAGACTGAGATGAGACCGCCAGTGGAGTGTTGCAGACTTGCAGTATGTTGGGAGTCCACCGTGCACCGCGCTGCGAGCCTGTCGTGTCCCTTGTCAGGAGCAGGAGAGCCCCACCTGTGCCCCTCGCCCTCGCCCTCGCCCTGATGCGGATCGTCCCTCCAAAATATCCCGGCTCGAGGCTCGTGCAGGTGGGGACCCTGTCCTCCTCCCCCCCCCATCCCCCTCGTTTGGGCGGCATGTTTTCTTTCTTTTCTGTTTTTCTTCCAATAGCCGGCTTTAATTCTCGGCAGAATGGGAGATGACAGATGTCGAACGACGAGGATATGAGACTCGCCCCCGGGGCCGCCGGCACTTTCGCGTGCGCGGAGAGCGCGACCGACGCGCCCGCGGCCCCTTTCGAGAGCACAGAGCAGCCCCCCCCCCCACCCTTTGGAGAGCAGCCCCCCCCCCCCCCTTATAGACATGCACATGACTCGACGGGCTGGAGCCCTCCCCGCACTCAACCCGTCAAGTGCGCCCGGCACCCCGTCGGCCCAAACGACGGGCGACGGCGGCG